GCCGAATAATACTCACAACTGACCACACACACACACACACGAACAAAACTCATCCGCGCTCAAACAATCATTAATACAAACACGGAAACCACACACGCGCACACACACCACCAACCAAGCAGATACTTCAAACAACTCCTCCGCAGACACACAATAAAATACACCAACACAAACGCAGCCGCAATACACCCACACAACAAGGGACAACACAGATTGACTGAACGAGACAAAGACCACATGGGTAACCGCACTAAAATCACACACACACACACACCACACAACTCATCGTCACAACAAACGGCAACTACCACCACAAAAACAACTTTACCTCAAATCATCATGTGCGACGAGCCTCATAGCCATTCCCACGTATTACGACAATGACCAATCAGACCGTCTCTCCATCTTGTCCGCAAGCGAAACTCCAGGACATGCATCCGGAGCATCTGAACACGGACGCGGTGCCAAGCCATGCACACAACCAACCGTTGAGACCAACAATACATACACAGAAACACACACACTATAAGAACAGACCACTAACAGTAACAGAATTCGACGAGAGGAAAAACAACAACGCAACATACAGTTGCCGATCAAGCAACACACGTGTAAATAACCATAGCACAACCTACCGACCAAGAAGCTTCATTAACCACTCAACACACACACACTAGACCATTCGCTACTCACGCAAATGGAGGTAACAAGTACCACGTGACAATCCTGTATGCGTCACACACACACACACGTGTGTCAAACTCAGACGCGCAGACAAATTCAATGTCGCACCAGCCAGTTTAAGTGGATCACAAAAGCAAATAGAACCACTCTCCGAACCGTGCTACACACCACAACCCGGACAATACGCAACATGCCATACAGCCTGACGTACGCGCAAACACACAACCAAAAACATCCACACACACACACACACACATGCTCAACCACAACCCATGCAACAAACACCACACCAATGCACCAAAACCAACCCACATTCACATCCAAGCGAAAGCACCACACACAACGTCATATCATTTGCAAGCAAGAGTCACTCAATCAAACATCGCGACAAACGGAAAATACTACAACAACACCAACACACACGCATATCAAACGAAACACACGCACGCACACATACTGCCATTCCTCACAACCGTCTGCAGCAGGACCAATAGCACCGACACTTTCAACCACCCAAAGAACACTCACTCTAGACGCAAACACAAACGCCAATGCGAACTCAACACTGCGCAGCACAGCACAATACAAAGTCATGGAGAAGCAAACATTTGATCCATACACATGCACACACATACATACACCAAAATATCCACACACAACCAACCTGTCCACCTAACAACACACCACAACCACAAGCCTGCCTCAAACAATGCTCGCAAAGCAACAACGTCACGAACTACGAACACACGGAACCAAACGCTAAACCACGACACATAACCCAACACTACACATCATCAACAACGCAACAAATTCATTCCCACATATACCGCGACACAAACAATCACCCCAACAAACTGATACACCACACTTATCCACCGTCAACACAACTCGGCACGTAGGCGTAGGGCACAAGGATGCCAACAAGACGGATCATGTGTCATACATTCATTACAACAGGCGACAAATACCACCGAACCACATCACCAACGCTCGCGGAGTGTGCCCCTGCAACAAGCTACAGCACGCCAGACAGCGCTCTTCTCGGACACGTTACCGGACACGTGGAAACACCACACAACCTTCTCTACGTGACCAAACATTTAGTCCCTGTGCGAAACCGAGAGAACACATCCGAACTCACGGTGCTCTACCGGGACAAGATTAATACATCACACAACACCTAGCAACTACTCACAATAAGCATCTTCACTAACCCACACACTGACGCCGAATAATACTCACAACTGACCACACACACACACACACGAACAAAACTCATCCGCGCTCAAACAATCATTAATACAAACACGGAAACCACACACGCGCACACACACCACCAACCAAGCAGATACTTCAAACAACTCCTCCGCAGACACACAACAAAATACACCAACACAAATGCAGCCGCAATACACCCACACAACAAGGGACAACACAGATTGACCGAAAGAGACAAACACCACATGGGTAGCCGCACTAAAATGACACACACACACACACACACAACTCATCGTCACAACAAACGGCAACTACCACCACAAAAACAACTTTACCTCAAATCATCATGTGCGACGAGCCTCATAGCCATTCCCACGTATTACGACAATGACCAATCAGACCGTCTCTCCATCTTGTCCGCAAGCGAAACTCCAGGACATGCATCCGGAGCATCTGAACACGGACGCGGTGCCGATCCATGCACACAACCAACCGTTGAGACCAACAATACATACACAGAAACACACACACTATAAGAACAGACCACTAACAGTAACAGAATTCGACGAGAGGAAAAACAACAACGCAACATACAGTTGCCGATCAAGCAACACAAGTGTAAATAACCATAGCACAACCTACCGACCAAGAAGCTTCATTAACCACACACACACACACACTAGACCATTGGCTACTCACGCAAATGGAGGTAACAAGTACCACGTGACAATCCTGTACGCGTCACACACACACACACGTGTGTCAAACTCAGACGCGCAGACAAATTCAATGTCGCACCAGCCAGTTTAAGTGGATCACAAAAGCAAATAGAACCACTCTCCGAACCGTGCTACACACCACAATCCGGACAATACGCAACATGCCATACAGCCTGACGTACGCGCAAACACACAACCAAAAGCATTCACACACACACACACACATGCTCAACCACAACCCATGCAACAAACACCACACCAATGCACCAAAACCAACCCACATTCACATCCAAGCGAAAGCACCACACACAACGTCATATCATTTGCAAGCAAGAGTCACTCAATCAAACATCGCGACAAACGGAAAATACTACAACAACACCAACACACACGCATATCAAACGAAACACACGCACGCACACATACTGCCATTCCTCACAACCGTCTGCAGCAGGACCAATAGCACCGACACTTTCAACCACCGAAACAACACTCTCTCCAGACGCAAACACAAACGACAATGCGAACTCAACACTGCACAGCGCAGCACAGCACAACACAGTCATGAAGAAGCAAACATTTGGTCCACACACACACACGCACACACATACACCAAAATATCCACACACAACCAACCTGTCCACCTAACAACACACCACAACCACAAGCCTGCCTCAAACAATGCTCGCAAAGCAACAATGTCACGAACTACGAACACACGGAACCAAACGCTAAACCACGACACATAACCCAACACTACACATCATCAACAACGCAACAAATTCATTCCCACATATACCGCGACACAAACAATCACCCCAACAAACTGATACACCACACTTATCCACCGTCAACACAACTCGGCACGTAGGCGTAGGGCACAAGGATGCCAACAAGACGGATCATGTGTCATACATTCATTACAACAGGCGACAAATACCACCGAACCACATCACCAACGCTCGCGAAGTGTGCCCCTGCAACAAGCTACAGCACGCCAGACAGCGCTCTTCTCGGACACGTTACCGGACCCGTGGAAACACCACACAACCTTCTCTACGTGACCAAACATTTAGTCCCTGTGCGAAACCGAGAGAACACATCCGAACTCACGGTGCTCTACCGGGACAAGATTAATACATCACACAACACCTAGCAACTACTCACAATAAGCATCTTCACTAACCCACACACTGACGCCGAATAATACTCACAACTGACCACACACACACACACACACACACGAACAAAACTCATCCGCGCCCAAACAATCATTAATACAAACACGGAAACCACACACGCGCACACACACCACCAACCAAGCAGATACTTCAAACAACTCCTCCGCAGACACACAACAAAATACACCAACACAAATGCAGCCGCAATACACCCACACAACAAGGGACAACACAGATTGACCGAAAGAGACAAACACCACATGGGTAGCCGCACTAAAATGACACACACACACACACACAACTCATCGTCACAACAAACGGCAACTACCACCACAAAAACAACTTTACCTCAAATCATCATGTGCGACGAGCCTCATAGCCATTCCCACGTATTACGACAATGACCAATCAGACCGTCTCTCCATCTTGTCCGCAAGCGAAACTCCAGGACATGCATCCGGAGCATTTGAACACGGACGCAGTGCCGATCCATGCACACAACCAACCGTTGAGACCAACAATACATACACAGAAACACACACACTGTAAGAACAGACCACTAACAGTAACAGAATTCGACGAGAGGAAAAACAACAACGCAACATACAGTTGCCGATCAAGCAACACACGTGTAAATAACCATAGCACAACCTACCGACCAAGAAGCTTCATTAACCACACACACACACACACACTAGACCATTCGCTACTCACGCAAATGGAGGTAACAAGTACCACGTGACAATCCTGTACGCGTCACACACACACACACGTGTGTCAAACTCAGACGCGCAGACAAATTCAATGTCGCACCAGCCAGTTTAAGTGGATCACAAAAGCAAATAGAACCACTCTCCGAACCGTGCTACACACCACAATCCGGACAATACGCAACATGCCATACAGCCTGACGTACGCGCAAACACACAACCAAAAACATCCACACACACACACACACACATGCTCAACCACAACCCATGCAACAAACACCACACCAATGCACCAAAACCAACCCACATTCACATCCAAGCGAAAGCACCACACACAACGTCATATCATTTGCAAGCAAGAGTCACTCAATCAAACATCGCGACAAACGGCAAATACTACAACAACACCAACACACACGCATATCAAACGAAACACACACACTGCCAATCCTCATAACCGTCTGAGTTCACTTGTTCGCCCAGCGTCTGAGTTGGGATGCATCCCAACTCCGAAGGTCGGGGAACTAGTGAAATCAGGAACGATCGACCCGAGCTACCAGTGCATCAAGTCATCATAACCGTCTGCAGCATGACCACCATTAGCACCAACACCCTGCTTGCGGTAGCACACTACGAAGCGATTTCCAATTGTGGCTAATATAGCAGGCGTTTTATTTACGACAAGCATTTGAATGTTTACCCCTACCCAAATCTTGGAAACACGTGTCAATAGCGGACAATGCTACAAAGGAGTTGGTCGATTGTACAGTTTATTTTGTGATATGGAGTAACATAATTCATGTTGCTGGTTTCAACGCTGCCTTCTGAGCGTGTGCACGCCTATTCCGCCTACGTGCTTTCAATTTCTTCCACTGCTTCATATTAAGCTTGTGCTTTGTTTCCGAATTCGTCGGTTTCTCTGGTGGTAGCGATGAGGCGTGCAGCTGCCCACCATCGAGTGGCCCATTGTCCGTCGCCCGATCGTATGCAGCAGACTTCGGATCCACTTGTAAAATGGAATGTTTGGCTTTGTAATGCTTTGGCCGTTGCGTAAGAGCAATTTTTGCACGTTTCCTGCAACCACAAGATGTCAATTAGCGGGTACAGACAACGCGGACCAAAACGAAAAATGACGCAACTCATCAAAGAACAAATCGTCGGAATATATGATCGAAATGACGAACAAACCAGGACAACGGTAACCAATGAAATGAAAACACACAAGCTCATCGACAGTCGAACTGCGTGGTTAACGACTTAGTATGGCATTGCAGCTTGACTATATGGGGGTCCATCTGCGTCAGTTTAACGTGTTCGATGGAGGAACCAGATGAAAATAGCATATGGTTAACAGAAAACGACTGAGAAGGTGCAACAGCGGTGAGTTTTGTCAGTAATTTGGATTATCCGAGGTAGAGAGAAATATGTGGTTGTTAGATTTGCTTCTTCCATTCGCCTACGATTGAACTCCTTCCCTGCAAGCCCCGAATCCCAGCCAAAATCAGATGTAAACCGAAACGGGTGCATAAAATGATGGACATCAAACAGATCAACTTAAAAATAACGTTTCAGAACAGTTACATCAGCTGCTTTGACTGGTAGTTCAGATGTGGGTACGCACGTCAAGTGATGGGCGGGAATGTTCCTGAAATAACTTGATCCGACGGTTGTATGTCATTGGATCAAATCGTTCACATCGAAATAATGAGTATTCATTGGAAATTTTACTACCTCCAGGATAGTAACAAACGAGCTCTGTGTGAGTCGTGCACTAAAAGGAACTATGAAGGGGCTAATGCCCCTCAAGTAACGAATACCCCGAAATAGGAGGAAACGAATTGTGGGCAGAATCAATAACTGTGCAGAGCAGTCACTATCCGGTTGCACGTATGCGCACACACGCAGTCACAGGCTGGAGGAGTACTGTAGCACAGCTGGACATAGTGAACTGGATATCGGACAAGTGAGGCAGTGTATAGCCAGTCACGTGTTAGCCTCGCAATAAGGCGACAGGCATGAGTCACTGGAGATGCGCATACGAGACGGAATTCGGGTGCTAGCTCAGGCCCGCTAACTATCACGGGAAATCCCCGGTACATGGCATAGCGCACCAAAACTATGGTATCCAAAGACGATAGCAGAATCAGTACGGGATTCGGATTCCGGAAAGATCTCACCTGTTCGTACTGCACCGTAAAGATCACGGAGGTTGCCTAGCTGTTGTGGCGAGTCACTTACCAAACAACATAAGCACGGCTCAGTAAAAACTGGGATTCAGAAATCAAACTGCGGTGGGTCCAACTGCCCTGGCTAGATTGACCGGTATAACAGACCGTAATTGTGCAAAATAGAAAAAAACATAAGACAAAACAGCAATGCGATTACAAAAAAAGACTGACTGGAAAGTTAACAGGTACATATAAAAATACCAGATTTAACAGCGTTGTTGAGTCTATGGTTGAGTGGCGACGAAACAGGACCTCAGCGTGGGACTTATTCGATCCACTGGGCTATTCCTGGTGGACACTTGGGCCCATTGAGAACTACTCATATCAGGCTGGCCCAGTGATTAAAAGCCAGAGGGACTCAATCACCTAAGCCTACAGATTGAGGGCTGGGAGTGAGGGTGTCCATTTCTGCAAAAAACTGCCATCCTACTGCTTTTCGAGCATACATCTGGGTCAAGACTTATGTTGCTCTCCTGTCTAGGTTTGGTCTTCTTGGCAATATCACAGCCCAGGTACAATCATGAACAAATGAATTTATTGTTAATTTTGAGCTACATTCTGTATCGGCCGTCACGCAGCTGCAGAAAATTAGCCTTATCCGCTGCAAATACTAGGACGGATAAGCAAGAACACGCTTATGCTGATAACTCCCGACTCCTATTACTAACCTTTCTTCTGTAATTCCCAGCGCAACTGACTGCAGATGCGAGCCCATCCTTATTCTTTCATCTGCAGCTATCAGTAGACAACTTAGCTAGAAGTGGAAAACATCTCAGCTATTGTGCCGCAACACATTAAAAAGAAAAGTTAAATAACACAAAGGGCACGCCGGCTGAGTCACCAGTAACGAATGGACATCGTTCTGGAGAGCTAACAGCCGGTTATTGTGCCGCAAAAGGAAGCATTATACTTTGCATATGAATTGAGATCGTGGTTGAAGGGGGAGACTAAAGGGGGGAGGGATAAAGAAACTCACAACATGAACACTTCTGAGGTCGGCTCCTAGCCATATCAACAAGTCTATCCAGCCTAACGTGTTCATTGGCACTCGGACCCCAACTAGGGAACCGAGAAGCTCCAAGCGAGGCCAACTTTGAACTAAGGACCTATATTCCTCTTGACCAATTCATAGCTTGGCCACCTCTGCTCTTCTTCCACCAACATCCTAGGCGCGCAAACAACCCACGTGGCGGCAGTCGGTGGGCTGGCATGCAGAACACGTGACCGAGCCACCGGAGCATGGTCATCATCATCATCATCATTACACGTTAGCTGGAGGTGGAAAAAACCTCAGCTATTGTGCCGCAAAACAAAAGACAAGAAAAGGAAAACAAACAGTGGCACGCCCGCTGAGTCCCCAATAACGGATGGACATCGTTCAGGGGTGCTAACAGCTGGCTGCCGTAAAAGAGAGTCACATTATGCCTAACAAGTGAGATCGTGATTGGAGGGGGATGCTAAGCAGGGGGGATGGACAAAAGAACTCACAACACAAACGCCATTGGGGCCGGCTACAAGCCATATCAGCAAGTGTGTCCAATCAAACGTGTTCATCGTCCTTAGGACCAAAGCCAGGCAGTCGGGATGCACCAACCGACGCCAACTTCGAAGTGAGGGTTTTCATTTCTCTCGACCAAGTCATCACTTGACCTGCCCTCCTCCTCTTCCAACCGCACCCACAACGCGCAAACAGTGCACGTAGCGGGAGTCGGTGTGCTGGCATGCGCAACATGTGGCTCAGCCATCGGAGCCTGGTGCGTGATATAATGGTGCTGAGCGGTCCACTCGCTCTGCACCAAATACGCGACGCCGAACACGCTCATTGCTCACGCAGTGCTCCCACCAGACATGAGCTAAGCTGCGAAGGCAGTGATGATCGAATGTGACGAGCCCCTTTATGTCTATCGACCCGATGGGCCAGGTTTCACAGCCATAGAGGAGAGTTGAACGGACGGCTGCGTTGTAAACTCTGCCCTTCAGGGCGAGAGTAATGTCGCGTCTGCGCCACAGGTGGCGGAGATTGGCAAAAGCACCTCGAGCTTTTGCTATACGGTTCGTAACCTCATCTTCAATCCCACGGGTGCTAATATAGCTACCCAGGTACTTGAATTCCTGAACGACTTCTAGCAGATCACCACGAAGCGTTAGCGCAGGGTTGAGTCCCTGTCAATCTTGGAGAAATACTTTGCATTTCGATGGAGCAAAGCATGGCCCAAGACGATTGACAGTCATTGCTAATCGGTCCAGTGCTGTTTGGCATGTTTGGGAGCTGTCACAGATTAGGGCAATATCGTCCGCATACTCCAAGTCAAGAAGTCGCTCACCAGGAAGTAGCTCCACACCTTCTAGGTAGTGTTCAGCAAACGCTGTTTCCATGATTTTATCAATAGCGAAGTTGAAGAGGAAAGATGACAGCGGGCATCCTTGTCTCATCGCTGGTGATACTGAAGGGTGGCGACAGTTTGCCACAAACCCTCATGCTGCCCGAACTATGCGCGTACAGCACTTTGATAATGTTTACATATTTATCAGGCACACCTTTCCTCAACAGAGAGTCTCAAAGGGCACGTCGATCGACTGAGTCGAAGGCACCTTTTATGTCAAGAAACACGACAACGGTGGGTCGTCAATAAACATGGCGGTGCTCCAACACTTGATGCAAGGTGAAGATGTGGTCGATGCAGCCCCGACCTCGACGAAATCCGGCTTGCTCTTCACGAATCTGGCTTTCACAAGTGCCAGTCAGTCTGTGGAGAATGACAGAGGCAAGCAAAATCAAACTGATCCCTCTATGATTGCCGCATTCCAAACGGGAGTTTCCCTTGAAAATTGGGGACAATGACGGAGCGGTTCCAGTCTGTCGGGACTGTCTCCTGCTCCCAAAGTTTTACTAGCAACTCGTGTAAATCATCTACTAGAGCAGGTCCCCCGAATTTGAAGAGGGCTGGGGGAATTCTATCTGCCCCTGCGGCCTTATGCAAATTCAACAGCCTGATCTCACGTTCACTTCTGCGCGTGAGGGCGGATCCAAGGAGACGGCCCAGGGAGAAGGGCGCTCAATGCCTGAAGAAGAAAGCGATAACTCAGGTTGGTTGAATTGCCTCTCAAAGTGTTCAGCCCAACGCTCCAAGCATTTTGACAGGCTGTGGATCGGCTGCCCACTCTCGTCGCGTATGGTCTCGCTAACACCAGGTCTCCTGCTGCCTGTTTCCCGTATCAGACGGAATAACTTACGATGATTACCCACGGCAGCGGCTGTTTCCATCTCAGAGGCACGATGAGACCACCAGGTTTCGCGGTCCTTCTTCAGGCTAGCACGTAGTTTTGCACTGAGATTTTTGCGAGTCTCATTGTATTCGCTTCCAGCCGGAATACGTCGGCGAGCATCCATAAATTCCAGAGACTGTGTAGAGGCCCAATGTCCGGTTTGGCAACTTGCTTTGCCACATGAAGACATGCCTGCTAACAGCAACGTTTGACGAATATGCGACCAGTGATCTTCGACGGTGTTTGGTGGGCGCCTACTCAGCCCAGATGTCAGCGCACTTTGGTACACATTCAGAACATCTGGCTTCGCCAGCTGACTGGTGTCAATCCGTCCACATCGACGTTGCGGACGTCCACCGAAACGCACCAGGAGGTCGGCACAGACAAGTGCGTGGTCAGAGTCCACGCTCGTGCTCCAAATCGAGCAAGTTTTGGACACAGCTTCTCCAGCGGTAACTGATCGCGATATGATCGATTTGCGCCCATGGCTGGCGACCGCCAAGTCACGCTTATGCGGGTGCTGTGTCGAAAGTTAGTGCTCGCGAGAAAGAGGCGAGCATCTTCACACAGCTGCATCAA